CACTCCTAGTATTTAATGCCCCTTTAAGAGCCTCCCACTGTTGGTGAAATTTTACCCATAAGGGTTGTATTGCCATACCGGTTTTAGTGCACCATGTCTGACTGAAATGTACCTTGAATGTTTTTGTTAAGTAATAAACACAACAAAACACAAGAGCATCAGAAGTCAGAATTTTATATTACAAATGTCAGAATAAATGGTATGCATTATTTTTCCTTTCAAAAATTAGGTTTCCTTAAAAATAAAATTAAAAAATACCTCCCTGTGAGAAAAAAAAAAAAATTGCTTTCACACAAGCCTTCATCAGACATATTCTATATTAAATGTAAAAAATAAATACACCACATCAGTTAAATGGAAAATTGTAGTCTGTACAATAGAAGCCAAAAGGGACAAAAATATACATTTTTACAAAGCACATTTCAACTGAGTTTTTTTTATATTGGTGTCATGGTACACAAGGCATTCTTAAAGCTAAGAAAAAAATAAATCACAATCTATTTAGCAATGCATAAATCAAATTAAATCAATTCACAACTCTTTGTTTCTAAATATTCCTTAGGCAACAGTACCCAACCCTTTAGTAACACTGTATGCCTTTTGTGTCATTATTATTGTTCTCTCAAGTGCAATTTTTAGCAATGATACTGAAAATTATTACAGTCTAAAGTGAAGTTTTCTTTGATCATGAAAAGTTTTCTTAGTTTATAAAAACCCAGACTGCCCCCCAGCTGCAGGAAAGGTGAGGCGCCTGCACTGGACCATGGTAGGCAAGTAACTGACATACCTTTTTCTAGGAAACCTCACCACTATATCCCTTACAGATATTAGAAGGCACTGGATGATTAACTGGGCTAAACTTTGTTTGTTTTTTTTATTCGTCTAATTCAAAATACTGCTCACAAAACCATGCCATAGTATTTTACAGGTTAAGTTCACCTTTTTACAAAAAATAAATAAATGCACATAATTTTGCAGGTAAAAAAATGAGCATTTATTATTATTTTATACTGCAACCTTTAAGGCATTGCACCTGCGATCAACAGATCGTGGGAGGAATGCTAGGATCCTGCAGATTCTCAATATATTGTCTCTCCATATCTCGTACAGACAGGCAGTTATTGAATGGCAGGTGAAATCAATGGACTATGAGAGTGCTCCCCAGTGCCTCCCAGTTCATTATGAACTACAGGCCGTCGACTAGGGAGGCAGATGCTAGGTGTAATTCAATCATCCACAGAACTCTGTGAACGAATGACACAGCATGTGGGTAGAGCCCTGCAGGGCCATGCTGTTTTGAAATTGCAACAGCGGGTGCAGAGAGAAGATCCTCGGCCCACTGTCACAGGGGTGGGGGGAATCAGGGATGTTGATGCAGGAATCCAAATAGGGACTCTTTGCTGTCAGAATACACTGATCAGCACTATTTGTACAAGGTTTTCTAGCAGTCCCATTCGAAAGAAGTTGATCTAACAATCGGCTTCTGTTGAACTGGAAGGGCTACACACAGATCAAAATTTAGCCAGTCCCAATTGAATCAGACAAATTTCGATCCATGTGTACTCAAGCTTAAGCTTCAACACCTTCTAAATGCGCCTTTACACAGGGTTAGGACTGCAAAACTGAGCAGCAGAATGGCATACGAGGACTTTAAAGCAAACCTGACCTAGCATAAAAAGTGCCTAAAATAAAAACACTGCTGAAGCAAAGATACCCTGTGTTGTCTGCTGGAACCTACATTAGTCTTCAAATAAATCTTGCACCCCCGTGAAACCTGATTTGAGCCTTGTGGAAGACTATGAAAAAAGGCTTCAACTAGCTGAAATCCACTTTTGTTCTTTTCTGGAGCTGTAGACCCTGCCCATCAGTCACCCTTCAAATGCCAGAGCCTTCACTGAACACCGATTCTCTGCCATTTGACAGAGGGTACAGCCTGGGCTTGAAATCGAAAGGGTATAATGCAAGTCCATTACACTGAAGACTAACACACTTGCAGACACCACGCGTGGCTTCCTCTTTGGCACTGTATTAGGCATGGTTTGTGCCAGGACAGGTTGTTTTTACAAGAATAAATCGAACCAATACTGAAAACTATCAAATCAAAATCTCTGTGAATCCCCAAAGAAAAGTAAATCTTTCACCCTTGAAAGTGCAAATATCATAAACCTTTTCTATAAACCTTCCCCAAAAACTCAAATCCTACCCCTCATTCCCAATACATCAAAATGTCCACAATGCAAAATCCAAAATTGTCCACACTATCCAATCTTCCAGCTGTGATAAATATCCGATTCGTCACTCCAATCCAAGATGCCTCAAAAAAAATTAAACTAAATATAGTGCATTATCTTTCAAAATATAATATGTGATATCATGCAAAAGCACTAGTGATATAAAACATAATATAAGCAATATTATAAATCAACACGTGAAGTTAAAAATCCACACAGCTCCACTAGTCATATTGTGAAATAATCACTCCAATAAGTGTCACACTGCACTTTCCCACTGTCAGTGGGCTCACTGCCAGCACAGGTGTACTGCAGCAAAGCCTGATTGGCTCCTAGTGCTTCCCCTTCCTCTCCCAGTCTGAGTGCTGCTGTACAAGGGATGACAGGAAGCTGATTTCAAGAAAGTCGGAAGTGACGAAACGCGCCAGAGTCGTGACGTCAGACGCAAAACCGGATGGACGGTTTTTTCCTTTAATGCAAGCGGATAATACATGTGTGATTTTCATATATATATACTCCACTGAGTTTTCTCTTCTCTGCCCTGTGAGGAATGGGGGATCCCACTGCATACTCCCATAAGAGGAAAGCCATCTGGCATATGGGGATTTGTGAAACACCTGTGCAAGCTGAAAGAGGGTAATAGCATGTTATCCTAACGCAGAGTGGTGGCACTTATTTGGTCTTGTACACTTTTTCACTGGCTACATACTTTGGATTTGTTATATTTCACTTATTGGAGTGATTATTTCACAATATCACTAGTGGAGCGGTGTGGATTTTTAACTTCACGTGTTGATTTATAATATTGCTTATATTATGTTTTATATCACTAGTGCTTTTGCATGATATCACATATTATATTTTGAAAGATAATGCACTATAAATTTGTTTAATTTTTTTTTGAGGTATCTTGGATTGGAGTGACGAATCGGGATATTTATCACAGCTGGAAGATTGGAAAGTGTGGACAATTTTGGATTTTGCATTGTGGACATTTTGATGTATTGGGAATGAGGGGTAGAATTTGAGTTTTTGGGGAAGGTTTATAGAAAAGGTTTATGATAATACTGAAAACTGATGTCACATTGACTAGACTGACCCACTGATAATACTCTACTGACCTCCATACTGACTGCTAACCAGACCAAGGTGCTTTGTAGTACTGACAGTAGCAAGAGATACAAGATCACAACAAATGCCACCCTTTACTAATTTTTTATGCTAGCTGGTGAAAGGACTGTTTGAGAAGCAGGTTGTGAACCTAGATCCCTAGTACAACATTACCTTATTAGTATATCTGATATTTAGGTCAGATACTGCATCTCCAAGGCAGGGCAAACAATGAAACAAACTTGTAAATTTCTCTATCAGCTGGACAAACCATAAAAAAACTAATTTACAAGCCCTTTCTAATGTTAATATAACCAAATGCTCTCTGGCTCCTTATTAAGGTAAGATACCTTCTAGACATTGTATAGGAAAACTGTAGACATGAATGAACATGAACGTTCATTCAAGCAGTCTGTGGAATATTTAGCAAAGTAGCAAACAGTCCTAAGTCTACAGCTGCTCTATGACAGTTTTTATTTATTTTATTTCTGATTGGCCATAATGGATATTTCAAAAGCATGTATAAGCATATAGAAAAGGTAATTGTTACTTTTACCAACCGATTTGTCTGCCCTGCCTTGGAATATTACATTTCTTAGAAGAGCATTAATACTGAAAAAACTGGTATTTTAGGGTCCATGCACACTGCCTCAAAGAAAAACGCCAGTACTCTTGGCAGAAAAAAAAAAAATTGCTAATTTTGAGTGGTTTTTGTACTAGCGTTTGGTGTTTTTTTTTTTCTGCCAGAAAAATGCTCTCAAAAATGCAAACCAGAAGGGTTTTTTTGCTTCCTCTAAATGCAGATTTTAAAATATGCCTCTAAACTTCCTAATGTGCATGGAGACATAGAATAACATTAGCTGCTTCTACAGGCAAAATGCTAAACTCTTTTTTTTTTTTTTAAGCCCACTGTTCATGGACCCTTATACATTTATTTTTGCCCATAGGAACAGGGGTGAAGCAAACAGGATCGTTATTCCTGTTAAAGTGAATTGTACTGCTTGATGACTACCTTAAAATAATCTTTTTTGCCCACAAATAAAAAAAAAACAGCCGATCTAAAAAACAGAACAAAAAAAGGACTATAAAAATTACCTTATTAAAACATTAATGGCACCAAAGAAAATATCAAACCCAGCTAACAGGAAAATCTCCTGGTACATCTATGGCAAAATGTAAAAAATGTGAACCTGTCATGTAAATTAAGTTTAAAAATCTATATTTTGTTAAGGAACAGTCACGAAAAGGAGCCTGCAAATCCCCCCAAATCATTTTTGGTGCCCCTGTGGAGCCCCTCTATCCTGTGCATTTCAACTCAGAGTCAAGCTCAAACCCCCAACAGAGCTACTTTTTATTACTGCTTAACAGCCAACTTTGGCATAGACTGTTGAATGGCAGGAAGGTGGGGGGTGTGGAATTTACCTCCGAATTGGAATCAAGGTTCATATGGTCTCTGCTCCCAAATCAGGGTTAAGTCTTGGGTGCACCAAAACATATTTGAAGGGTTTTTGTACAAAAGGTATCTGCTCTTTAACACTGCTGACAGTTTGTATGGTTAATTCATGTGACAGGTCTCCTTTAAGATTTCAATTATGGATTTAAAAAAAAGGGGGCATTCCTTGTAAGTAAAAAATGGAGATCCTCGAACATTCTATACATTCAGAGAAGACACACAGAGAACAGTGAGAGAGCGGCTACAATGCCATTTAATATTGCCATGGTGTAACCGACGTGGAAAGAATGGCCTGTCATTTTCCTGTAAAGAAAAGAATAAACAGAATAATTATACAACTCTACAATTAGTATATGCAATAGCAAATTAAACATAATTCAAGAAAAACAACACCACACACCTGGGATAGCATAAAGCTGTGTTCCATACAACTTATAGCCAGCAGTAATTGTGTAGAGAAAGTTTCCTGCATGTTTGCATGGCTATAGTAAGCACATCAAAATGTGCAATACATTAAAGTGGTTGTAAACCTCAGACATAAAATATGAACAAAGCACATCCTTCTATAGGGTGTACTTGTCTCAATTATAAACACTAAGTGTCATTTTTGTCTGCTGCCTCATTCCTCTGCTATCAGCCTAATTCATTTCTGACAAGTTTTGCTGAAAAAGGAAAACATGGTGACAGGGGAGGGACCCCCAGCAGATTGAAGCCTCAGCCCTGTTCCTGTGAGCTGTGTGGAGTGTGTTGTGTCTCCTTCCTCCAATCAGCTCAGATCTCTTCTGACTGAGCTCTGCAGAGTGTAATATCAGCTCTCTGTCCCCTTTTTGTCTGAACTCTCAGACAAGCTTTTTAAATTCAGTACTTTGAAGGGATGTAGAGAAGAGAAGACTGCAGATAAACAGGTACAACTTATGTAGGAGGATTTGTTTAATCTCTTCGTATCACCTGGGGCCAGTCACTTCACAGGATATATGTAAGGGCTTACAACTACTTTAAACGGAGAACACAATATTCAGGAATTTATCATAAGGTTCTTTACATTATACAGCAAAAATGTTTCCTATCAAAACCACACAAAAAGCAGAAATTTGGGTGGGAAAGCTAAAGCAAACCTGCTATGACAATGAGCTCAAACTTTGAGGTAGGGAGCAGCAGGTGGCAGATCACCCTGGAAATCCCACCCCTACCACTGTCTAAACAAATAATAGCTTTGCTTAAAGCTGAACTAATATTGGATATTTTAGGTCTGTATCCCGGCTGTGTAGCTACAAACGCTATTTCATTCACGCCAGAAAGTAAAGTTAGAACTGTAGGGATGAAGGATCCCATTGCTCACCTGCCCTTTCACCTCCCCTTGTCCATTCACAAATGTATATACAAAGCATTCTGTGAATGAACAAGAGGAGATCTTGTTGTTCATCCTCTCTTCTTCTCCCTGTCCATACACAGAACACCTTGAATTCTGTGAAAAGAATACAAGGCTTTTTGTGAATTGGAAAGGTGACAGAAAAGCGAGCCACAGCTCTTTATTCTCACAATGCTGGAAACAGAGATGCCTGTACTTTCTGGCATCAGTGAAACTAAGGGGAAGATTTACTAAAATGGGTGCACTCAGAATTAAGCTTTGGCAATAAACCAGCAATTAGTTTTTGTTTTCAGAATGCTGGTTTTGTATGGGCAGTTGCAAGGGCGCCTGGGACATGCTGGCTCTGTATTTTAGGAAGCCATTGATACCAGGTGATCCCAGCTTGCGCACCCTTAGGCTAGTTTGTTTGCAACAACAGTTTTGATGATAATCCAAAGAATTGTGGCACAACATGCCAACCAAATCCATTGGTACTATTTGGAAACAACAGCTACTTTTTTTTTTTTTTTAAATAATGTTTTCTGCTGCTCCTAATTAACTGCACATGAGCCCTTTCTGTTACAGGCATATTGTTTATGCTCTGGCACTCCTAAAGCCAGCATCTGCAAAGGCAATCCTGGGGGCCCTGGAAAGTCAAGATAAAAAAAAAAAAAAAAAAACCACAAGGTATGTTACTGGCTTCACTTTTGTAGGGAGAATCTTTGTTTTCAGCACTTCATTATGATAGCTTTGCTTAATGCTTTTTTAATGAACACACAACTAGAGTTTGTTTTTTTTTTTTTTTTTGCAATATACCCATACATATATATTTGCCTGGAGTAACAATTTAATCACTAAACTAATGGTGCCAAACTTTTGCCGGAGGCTGTCTCTCCTGGAGCTTTTTTAATTGCTTGACAATGAATTGTAAAGACAAATTAAAATGAAAAGTTCACATGGCTCACAGTATGTACAAATGCTCACTGTAATAAAATTTTGTACTGCCGACAGTGCTCCATGGACTGCTCATGTTTAATCGACCTCACAGCGGTCAGCTTTTATGGCATGTCCAGATCGCAAATCCTTCTCAGTTACTAATTGCTATGAAACAGCTTCATACAGAAAACAAAAAAAAAGATCTTAGATGATTTAGAAACTACTAACTTTATAAAAGGGAAGGAGCGTAAAACTAGAACCAAAAGACAAAACTTTTTTTTACCCATTTTGAGTAAAGCTAGGTAAGGCTGGGGGGGGGGGGCAGGACAACTTTCGCTTCCGATCACCTAGTTGGTCGCAGCGGAAGTGGGAGCGGGTAAATGTCAAAATCCGGTACTCGCTCCTGGCTCCCCAAAGGTGCCAATTCCTCATAGGGAGTGGGGGACCAGTACTTAAAGCATAACTTCACACTGCCAGAACATATGATAAAGAGAACCCTTCATTTTACAATGCCAGTAATGGTCACTAGTTGAGGGATGGATGGAAGAAGCTCCAGAGTCTGGTACCAGTGGTAAAGAATTTTATAGAGATTTTCTTTGCAAGGATTAAGCTTTTAGCCACCTGGTATCAGATGATTTGCTACGTTTCAAGGTGTGGATTTAAAGTTTGAATTGCATGTGGTGCTTTAAGCTGACTATTCACTAGATTTTTTTTAATGAATATTCGTACGAAAACTCATTGTACATCCAATGACTGGACAATTGCTGTTTGAAAGTACTAAAAACTCCTTTGCTTTTAACATTCCATTTTCGAATGAATGTAATTTTCTGAACGAAGACCACGTATACAGTTAAAACTTGTTCATTCATGAAAAAGTTTCAATCCTGCTTCTTCGAGTTTTCTCATCACAATAAACAACCTAAAAGGTTTGTGTGCAACTGTTCCAACCCATCCAGTTGGCTCAGTAACTACTTTTTCAGCTATTTGGAATCTGTACAGAGGAACCAATAAAGCATTTTCGGTTTCTCTTATTATCCCGTTGCCTAGGCAAATAACAAAAAAATGTAGAGTGGAGTAACTACAATTAGCAATGTCCTCTTGCAGTGTTCATGAGAGTGAGCTATGGATGGTGCTTGAAGAATGCCTTACATGAACACAGGCAATTCATCCTTCCCAAAAATACAAAACACTCATGGACTCAGCCACTTAGTTTGAATAGGTTTAAAAGATGTTCAGGTCTAGTGGTCTATTAAAAAAACAAACAAAACAAACAAAAAACAAAACACAGCAATGCTGCTAATTTAAAGTGACAGCAACAAAGCAAATTGACTGTCTGGGTGTCGGATGAGTCTACCCCTGCATGTTGTAGTTCCAACTGCCAACTACTGCATCAAGGGGTAGATTTGCGAAAACTGGTGCACTCAGAATCTGGTGCAGCTGTGCATGGTAGCCAATCAACGTCTAACGTCAGCTTGTTCAATTAGGCTTTGGCAATAAAACCTGGAAACTGGTTGGTTTCCATGCAGAGTTGCACTCTTCAGTTTTAGTAAACAACCCTCCATTAGTGTGTCCCTGAAGAGCTGCTGGGACATACTAGCAACATAGAGTACTTGTCTGTTGATTAAATGACAGCGCACAGCTGTAAGACAGAGACATCCAACATACCATCAAATGTTGAATGCTGAAGATTCTAACAGCAGGGGTAGCTCTGTAAGAGGGCAGAAACAGCACAATCTACTGTATTTACTTACACTGGAGTGAGCAAAATCTGGTGCAGCTCTGCATAGAAACCAATCAGCTTCCAGGTTTGATTGTCAAAGCTTAACCATTAGCCGCCTGGCCAATAGCCGTTTGACGGCCGGAAAAATGCATTAGATATCCGGGTGGACGCCATATGGCGTACTCCTGGGCACGTGCAGTTTGCGCGCTTGCAGAGCCACGCAGCGGCACGATCTGTCACCGGCCGTGTACCTCGGACACGGCCGATGACAGATCTGAGTACCAGCCCCCGTTGCCGGTACCACGTGACCTATCACAGCAGGTCACATGACAGTTGTATACAATGGATGGCTTCATTCATGCCATCCATTGTATACTAGTGTTTAGCTGTGAATGGTCACAGCGATCATATGCACATATCATGTGATTGGCTGTGGCCAAATCACAGCTAAGCAAAAAAAAAAAAAAAAAAAAAAAAACCCTGAATGAATCGATGTCATTCAGGTAAATGCTTGCTTATAGCAAAGTAATTCTTTGCTATAAGCAAATTGTGTAAAAAAAAAAACTGATCACTTCCCCAAAGTAGTACAATGTTACTATGGTAACAATGTTACTATGGTAACATTGTACTACTTTGGTCATAGTGAAATATGAAAAAAAAAATCTTAAAAAAAAAGAAAAAATAATAAAAAATTAAAAATAATAAAAAAAAAAAATTATATATTTTTTTTTCATACTGTCACCAGTCAGTGTCCCTGATCACCGCCATGCCCGTTATATGATGACGCTGTACTGCACTGGTGACAGTATATAAAAAAAAAAACAAAAATAGTGAAAATAATTTTTTTGATTTTTTCATTTTCCCCGAAAAATGACAAAAAAAATACAACTTCAAAAAACTCGCCATGCCTCTTATGAAGTACGTCGGACTGTCTACTTTGCAAAAAAGGGGTCATTTGGGGGATATCTGTACTGTTCTGACATTCTTGGACCTCAAGAAATTAGATTGGCTGTCAGTACTTCAGGATTGATCAATAATCAGATCTATACCATAGTTTGTGAACTCTATAACTTTCCTACAAACTAAAAAATACATCCTAATTTGGGTTATTTTCACCAAAGACATGTAGCAGAATACATCTTGGCCTAAATTTATGAAGAACAATTATTTATTTGCAAACTTTTATAACAGAAACAAAGAAATACGTGTTTTTTTTTTTTGTTAATTTAGCAAAAAATAAAAAACCCCAGCGGTGATTAAATACCACCAAAAGAAAGCTCTAGTTTTGTGAAGAAAATG